ACTATCGACTCAATTAATTTTCAAAAATTTCTATAGCCACAAGAGAAAATTATTTTCTACTTTTTAGTTCATTACAAAAACGTGGTTTTATAAAAAGTTTTTTTATTTGTTATATTATTTTCTTCTTTTTAGTTTTTGATGGGTGGAATTTTATATTTTGTAAACAACTGATTTTGTTTTTATGCTGCGGTCCATTTAAAATCACAGCGACAGTTAAATTTGGTTTTTTTGTTCGAAAATTTTTTATTTAAAGCGACGCGTCAAATTGCGGCGACGCTTCCAAAAGTTTCGCCATAATAAATTTTATTTTGCTGAAACTGTTCAAGAAACTCGACAAATCATGGTAAAAGTAGAATAATATTGCATTGTCATCGGGTTCTGAGCTATAGTAAAAGTTTCAGAGCTCTAGCTAATCGAAAAGTGGGTTAAAATTGAGTTGCAAAATTCCACCCGGACAAACAAACAAACAAGAAAGCGAGCTAATAAAAACGTGGTAAAATACGATCATTTTAACGACGAATCAGGGTAAAAACCTAAAAAAGTTGGTTTCCGAATAAAAAAATATGCTGAAAGAAATTGTCTTACTCGTGTTATTCGAATTGTTGTAAGAAAGTATAAAAAAAATTTGACTTAATCTTAGTTTGATTTAAACTTATTTTATCTAGATCAAGAGCGTATAAAAGATAAAGTCTTATAATACAATATACTATATATAATATATACTATATACTATATATAATCTTATACGTCCATGTTTAAATCAAATGTTAAATAAAATGTTTATTATACAGTAAATTGGATTCAAATTAATTTTTTATATCATCATTAATTTCATACCATTATTATTTTTTTTTTCAGCAAAAGAATCAACTTTATTTTTCAAAATTATGGGGGAGGAAGGGGGAGTATGGCCCTCTTAGCCTCCTCCTCTACCTTGTTGCCATGGCAACAACACCTAATTTTCATTTATAAATGAAATTAATATAAAACATAATGTGAATAAAAATTATTATCAAAGTATAAATTAATGGGGTAAATTGCTAAGAATAAATAATGAAAAGTTTTCTTGATATGGAATAGTATATAGCATAATCACGAGCATAAGCTAAATAATAATAAATGGTAAAGTCGTTAAATTCCTTAAATTTAAGTTTTTAATAAAAAAAAAATGAAATTTTTAAACTAGATAAATAAATATTTCTAAATGAACATTGAATTTCATCTTTAGTTTTTAATTGTATACAACATATATATATATATATATATATATATATATATATATATATATATATATATATATATATATATATATATATATATATATATATATATATATATATATATATATATATATATATATATATATATATATATATATATATATATATATATATATATATATATATATATATATATATAGTAATAGTAATAGTAATAGTAATACAAACTGCTGTAACGACGATTGTCGCGGAGCATAAAGTTTAAAATTTATACTTTAACAGCCGTAAAAAAATGTTTATCTAGTCTAGCTTTAAAAGAATTTACTGTCATTGCAGAAACCACTTTTTCAGGTAAAGCATTCCAATGAGGTATCACTCTGTTCGTAAGAAAATTATGTCTCGGTGTTGTTTTTGCAAATTCTCTTTCAAATTTCATTGGATGACCTCGAAGTCTCTGGGAAGAAGCTTTATTAGGCTCTTTATAACATAATATCATATCAATCCCAGTTGTTAATTTGAAGAAAGCAATGAGATCTCCTCTTATACGTCTTGTTTCCAGAGTTGTGAGGTCCAACTTTGTCAATCTTTCGGTATAACTTAGATGTTTTAGTTCAGGGGCTAGCTTTGTTGCTCGTCTTTGAATTTTTTCTAGGTCCTTGATATTGTTTTTATTACTTGGACTCCACACTGGAGCTGCGAATTCCAAGTGGTCTAACCAACGATGTGTATAGTTGCCTTACCATTTCAGTGTTAAGATAAGTAAAGATTTTTCTTATTAAACATAAGATTCTTTGTGCTTTACTTGTAGCTACTTGAACCTGATGATTTCATTTCATATTGGATGAAACTATTACACCCAAGTCTAGTTCTTTTGTTGTTGTTTTTAGAAGAAAACTTTGATTGTCGTGCTTTATAGTGTAGTTATAGTTATTATTTTTTCTTCCAATGTGCATAACACTGCATTTATTTATGTTAAAGTCCATTAACCATACATTTGACCATTCAGTTAACAAATCAATGTCATTTTGCATATTAGTTAGATCATTATTTTCTTTTATAACAGATATGATTTTAGTATCATCAGCGTATAATTTTGCGATAGAAGAGATACATTGGGGAAGATCATTGATATATAACAGAAAAAGAAGAGGACCCAATACAGAGCCTTGTGGTACACCACTATAAACCTCGCACCAATCTGATACAACTTCACCCATTACCACTCTTTGTTTTCTGTTTTTTAATAAAGAATCAATCCAATTTAAAATATTGCCTTTAATTCCATAGTTAGAAATTTTATGTATAAGTCGATAGTGGGGCACCTTATCGAACGCCTTTGCAAAATCTAGGAACAATATATCAACTGGATAACCATTTTCAATTTCAGTTGTAATAATATAGAAAAAGTCTAATAGGTTTGTTAGGCACCTTTTATTTTGTACAAATCCATGTTGTTGAGACGTTAACAGATTGTTTTTTGTTATATAAATTATCAGTTTTTTTTTAATTATTTTCTCTATTATCTTACTTGGTATCGATGTAAAGGAGATAGGTCTGTAGTTGAGTGGATCTTTCTTGTCTCCTTTTTTAAAAAGTGGTGTAATGTTTGCAGATTTCCATAATTCTGGCAGCTCTCCTGAATGTATCGATTTCTTGAATATTAAAGACAAAGGTTTGGATAATCCTTCTGCACAATGCTTTAGCACATATATATATATATATATATATATATATATATATATATATATATATATATACATATATATATATATATATATATATATATATATATATATATATATATATATATATATATATATATATATATATATATATATATATATATATATATATATATATATATATATATATATATATATATATATAAATGCTACACACGCCCCACAGAGCCGCCAAGAAGGAGGGGCAAAAAAGGCATACGTATCCCAGGCGCCAAGAAAATAGGGGCGCCAAAAAAAACCATAATGAGGTTTTATTTACAAGAAAGTAAAAAAAATTTTTGTTAATGAGGTAAAAATAAATTTACTCAGTGATATGCATAACAAGTAACTTTACTTTTATTTATATAACCAAAGAATTATAACTCTAAATAATTTATCTCTTTACTTTGGGTGGTGGGGACCAACCAAAAAAAAATAGGCTTGTTTTTTTATATTGACAATAGGTTTTATCAAAACAATATATTTTATTCATAAATCTTATAAATGCTTTTACGACTATTCTGAAAAAAAATTAAATCACAATTTTATATAGGAAAAAAAAAAAAAGAAAAACTGAACTAACTTTGTTTGCTAAGGTTTAATGACTCTCTAAGGAGTGTCAAAACCTCAACGCTAATAAAATGTCACGCCTACCCTTAAAAAAGAAAACGAAGTCAACGGAAGCAGTTTACGGTTGAAACAATTTTCAAGACTTTGGCAAAGTATTCAACACAGTGTCACACAACAACTTCTTTATAAGATTCTGTCTATGACATCTGAGGTCAGCAATTAAACTGGATAACTGGTTGGCTTGCTTACAGACAATAATGAGTAATAATTGGAAAATGAGTGGAAATGGGTAACAAGTGGCGTCTCCCAAGTATCAGTTCTTGCATAACTGATATTTGTGTTCTTCATCAATGACTGCATTTATAACCATACCAAATTATACGCCAATGATGGCATGATCATAAGTCTTCTCCGTTTGAAATTTAATATATATATATAATATATGAAATTTAATATATATATATATATATATATATATATATATATATATATATATATATATATATATATATATATATATATATATATATATATATATATGTATATATATATATATAGGGCGTTAAGTAGCATTTTTTGACGTTTGAGATCTTCCACGCATGGAGCAAACTCTTATATGTTTATACTTATGCCAAATGCCAAAAAGATGCTTTGCAAAAAATTGCGATAAAAGAATATTTATGAATGTTTGGAAGCGAGAGAATAGTTTTAAATAATGTTTCGAATTGAAAGTATAATTATTAATGGAATTTAAAAAAGGAAATAATAATTGTAAATTGTTTTTTATATGCAAATTAATTACTATGATAAAAAATAATTATGAAATTAGGAAGAAGAAGAAAAAAATCATAATCGAAATTAATGTATAGTAGTTTTTTAGTTTTGTAATTATTAATAAAAGATAAATATGCTTTATGAAATATCAACATTAATGTATAATAAATTTATAAAATATGAAAATTATATTTTATAAAATATCATACAACATTAATATATAATTTGTAATATGCTTTACTGTATGTGTTATCAACACTTTTGTTTTACGTGTATTTTTATAGTTTTATCGTTTTTTAGTTTTATCAAAAAATTTTAACAATTAGGTTTATTTTAAACAAGTTCAAATTGTTGTTTGTGCTCAATTTGGGTTTATGTAGCAGTTTGTGTTTACATGCCGTTAATGGTTGTTGTTCGAGCAACAGTTGAACACTTTAACAAAAAATGCGTGTTTGTTGAATTATTGTTATATATATATATATATATAAAAAGCATACAGGATGTTTTTAATCTTTTTGTACAAAAAAAGAAACTTCAATCTGTTTTTAGTATCAAAAAAAAAAAAAAAAAAAAAAAAGACTGAGAACTGGTAATACTAATATGAACAAGTTACTTTTAAAAATGATTTTAAAAAATATATGCATGAGTAAGTTAGATGCGGTGTTGTTTGCTAAATTCTGCCGAACTACACGCCTCGTTAGTTAGCAGAAAAATCTATTAGAAAAAAATCGACAAAGCGCTCTGCAGGTGCATTTAAGAGGTTCTTTTTTTTTTAATGATTAGTGTTTATGTATAAAGACAATTTAAGTTCCTAATTTAATGAATACTTTTTTGAGCCTTTAATGACGGGCGAAAAAAAGTCTGATGGAGGTGATGCAGGTGGAAATGCTCGGACGGATGTGGAAAAACCATCCCAAGTTAATAAACCAGTCGAAGATGAAGAAGAAGACGATAGTTTAAGACTTAAAACAACAGAAGATCGTCGAGCGGAAGGCCTATGCTGTCCGAGAGTTAATCGCCAACTATTAACGTCCAAAGCATTTTATTTTTGCTTTTTCTCTGCATGGGGTTCTTTACTTCCTTATTTAGCATTGTACTTTAAACAGCTTATGCTGACTCCCAGTCAAGTAGGAATTATCATGGGACTTAAACCTTTTGTGAACTTTCTTGCAACTCCTGTTTGGGGTGCTCTTACAGATAAGTTCCACATTCATAAGATTGTGTTAATTGTATCAATGACTGCACTTATAACGTCAACCTTTTCACTTAGTCTCGTTCCAGGTCCAAAGCAACAAGCAACTATTATAAAAAATCATTGTAATAGAACGGAGGATATGTCAGAAATGATGGCCCTAGATGGCGAACAAGAAATTGGAAAAATGGTTGTTCTCGAAAAAGAAACAAGCGATTTTTATTTTTCTAAAGAAAGATGGCCGTGGCCAGTTGATTTCATAGCATCTTTTGAGCAAGATTTTTATAACAGATATAAAATCGATGCTTCAAAAACATTTACAAGTTTATTTTTAATCACACTTTTTGGTACCGTAATAGCATCACCTTCTTTAGCATTAGTGGATACAGCTACATTGCAAATGCTGGGTAAAGAAACGCATAGATATGGAAAACAAAGATTGACAGGATCGTTAGGTTGGGGTTTAGGAGCGTTTATTGTTGGAGCTTCATTAAAAACAACGCATCACTGTTCAATTTCGAAAAGCCGTGAGATAGTTGACTACATTCCGTGTTTTTATGTGTTTGCAGTCTTAATGACACTGGGACTTGTAGTCGCGTTTAAATTTAAGTTTAGTTCGAGTCAAAAAGCGGGCCAAACAAGAAGTTTGTCTGTTGGTCTAGTTGCCCTTAAAGACCCTACTTATCTTATGTTTTTGTTCACCGCCCTATATCTTGGATTTTTAATGGCTTTCATTAAAACATTTTTGTTTTGGCATTTAAAAGATCTTGGTGGTACTCAGCTACTTTTCTCCGTGATTTCAGCTGTAAACTGCGTAGCTGAAGTCAGTATGTATTTCTTATCAGAAAAGTTAATTTCAAAAATTGGTCAAATTCGGGTGTTGTATTTAGGTTTGATATGCTACTCCATTAGATTGTTTTATTATTCTATTTTGCCGTATACCTGGCTGGTACTTGTTGTAGAATTACTTCCTGGAATAACAACGGCAGCTGTATGGGCTGCATGTTTGTCCTATGTTAGTATCAACTCGCGACCTGGTGCTCAAACCACAATGCAGTGCATTTTACACGGAGTCCATTGGGGTCTAGGTTACGGAGCAGGTGAAGTAATTGGTGGAATCTTGGTACATCATTATGGCGCACCTACAACATTTGTAATGTTTGGAATTTTGTGCATAGTTGTGTTGCTGCTGTATATATTAATTAATATGATTTGGGGAGAAAAAGACCGCAAAAGAAGACAAGACGACGAAACACAAACAGAAGGATTTACTATGTTTACAAATGACGACGATGCAACTGAAGAGTTAGACGAAAGCATCAACGGAGTTAGTGACGAAGGTTTGAAAACAAAGACAGAAAATGATCATCAAGTGAACAAACCGGGAGCTACTCAATTTAAAGGAGAAAAAAAGGAAAGTTCTTCTTTAGAAAAAAATGTTCCCACAAATTCGCCCACATATACAAATGTGTCGAGTTCAACAAAGTCTGAGGAACCAAACAATCAGTTTGACTTTTCCCTAGTTACGACAGATCAAAATCATCAACTTCAAAATAGCTCACCGATGACGGTAAAGTCTAATATGAAACAAGATAGCTCAAAGCAAAACAGCCCGATGTATTTAACGCCAATAACATCCCCTTCAATGCCAGTAAAAACGAACCACAATGAACATGAGAAAGCACAATTAATTTCAAACGACAAAGTAGAAACTAAAATAGATACTATTGAAACTAAAGAAGCAATAAAAAAGAAAATTGATAATTAGCCGATCTAGATACAAAACATTTTTACTTCTTCAAATTATATATTTTTATTAATCCCAACTTATATTCTTAGATATTTTTAACTCTATATATGTATTTTTTTAATACTTCGTATTGTGATATAGTTTGTTTTATAGCTGATTAGATATTTTCAAGTGACAACGTACAAATAATAGACCGCATCGGTTTTTTGAACATTTTTAAGTTTAATTTTGGTACTTTCAACTTTTTTTATATATATTTTATTAAAAATGCAGTTTATATTATTAAAAACATAATGTCTTTAAATTTGTTTTGATAAATTATAAAAAAATGAATTCGCATTAAAATTAGAATTATAAAAATATGTTGAAATAAAATATACCTTGTTTATTAAAATGTTGAAATAAAAATTTGCTTATTGTCGACTTAAACAGATATACCTGTAAATACATGGTCGATGGAATAAAAAAATATTTTTTTTAAGAAAAAAGTGCTTTTTTTCTTTATAATAAATAAATTTATTCATAATATTAAAGAAAACGTGTCAAATTTAAGAAAAAGCTCAAACCAGAAAATGATTAAAAATAGGATTCCATACTTATGCAGGTTTGTATAACTTATTATTTTTTTTTTTATTAAGTTTTGGTTTTATAGGAAATGTTTATTAAATATGTCAACCAAATATATAAAGTACATTACATATGAATAAAGTACATTAATGTATTTGTATAAGTATTAATAACTAAACAAAATAACAATAAATAATATTAAACAGAGACGTAATTATAAATTTGGAGTTTTTATAATTACGTAGAGATTATTTACGAAATTATTAGTAGAAATTATCAAAAATTAATTGCGAAGGGAATATTATTAATTACGAAGAAAATATTTATAATTATGGAGGAAATCATTTTGTCGATCAGAATGAAAATTATATTAATATTTATACTAATAATTTTTTGCAATAACATTTATTTTTATAAACTTTATCAACTAAATATTTGTTTTATTGTTATTCAATTTTTATTTTTTCGGTTTTCAAGGTAAATCAACAAGAAGATATTATCATGTCGTAAAATAACGTTTGGAAGGAAGTTTGCTGACGTTTTTATCCTAAAGATTGTTTTAATGCTCATCTAACCTCAAACATCTTGAATGCAAATCACTACAACACAGCCATTTAAATATAAAAAGATCTACCCCATTCTTTTAAGTTTTTATTTTAAATAACATTATTTTTGATATTAATAAACATCACCCTTGTGATTTTTGATATTAGTAAACTTTATCAACGTTGATATAAAGTTACTGTTATTCAATTTACTGTTATAGTTGTTACCCAATCCTGTTGTAATTGTTATCCACTTTTCCGCTCATATTTAAAACTCAATTGATTCGATGAGTGCAGAAACCACGTCAAAGTTTTCAAATTTTCAAATTTTTCAGGAGAATATTTCTACAAATTTGCAGATATTTGAACTTTTTAAATCCCCTCTTATAACTTGCATTAAATGTGTGTTATTTAATGTTGTAAGAGAGTATAAAAAAAGTTGAAATATTTGTAAATTTGTAGGAGTTATGACAATTTTTCTCTCTCCTGAAAAATTTGAAAATTTGAAAACTTTGACGTGGTTTCTGCACTCACAAATTCGATTGTAAAGTTTATTCTGCGCTTTATATATGCTAACGAAGTTGTAAACTTTATAGATAGATGGTAAATAAATGTTATACAAAAATGTATTTTTTATTAAAATTTTAGTTTACAAAAATCTAATTGTAGAAAGGTTTTATTAGTGCTATTAAAGTTTTTAGCTACTCATATACAAACACTACACCAAAAAAATCTCTTCATAGGGGTTATTAATGCAAAATACGTTTGCTCCATATACTTTAATTTTCACATGAGTATGTTGCACAAAATCAGACTAAAACAAAATTGAGATAAAATATAACAATAAACTACTTCAACGCTAAGGTAGACATAGTAATACCAAAAGTCTTGATTATAATGATTATGCATGGCTAACGATAAAGAAGAATACGATAAAGAAGAATATGATAAAGATAAATATGATAAAGAAGAATATGATAAAGAAGAATATGATAAAGATGAATATGTCGATTTTTGCCTGTTATAACTAATAATCGGTTTTATGATTTTGCTTTTTAAGAATTTTTCGAACATTTTACATACGACCACGAAGGTCAGTGAAATAGGATAACAGTTTTTACCATGTAATTTTTTTTTTTATATACCAGACTAGTATTAGCTATTTTCAGAAAAGTGGGTACTATATAATATTATAAGAATTCACAGAAGAAATTTGTTAGCAGAATGTGAAACTTTTGATACATACCCTAAGTAAAAATGGATTCAGATGTGAGATCCAAAAGATTTTTAAGGGTTTAGACTTAAATTTCTTAAAAATGTCTAAGATAAAAAAAACCCTGTTGTTATTATAAATGCATTCATATTTAACATCAAATATCATGAAAATAGAAAATATTGTGGCAAAATGAATGCTTCCAGAACAGCAGAACACTAAATGGATTGCTTCGGCATATTTAATTGGATGCACAAAAACACTTACAACTAAACCTAACTACCATAAAATAAAAGTAAAAGAAAATCTTGAAATCAATATATTTAAACTTTTTCAATAAATAAAACAAACTGCTAGAGAACCCCTCCTAGGAAAAATATACTAGTCGTAGTGGAATTGTTAAAATTCTGGCTCATAACCTAGAGGTCTAAGGTTTGATGCCGGCCCTGGACAGAAAAGCATCATTAATAAGGAAAGAGGCAAGAACTTTCTTGTCAAATGCTACTCTGTGATACTCTATGATAAAACTGTTGCGATATCTCAAAGCACCCTGAAAACCACAAAAGAAAAAAAGAAAAAAAAAGTAGTTTTGTTATTTTAGATGAAAAAAAGTATCAAAAGTTAAGGTGGTTATTTTCATTATATACTATATAAGTAATATTATTTTTAACAAATCAGTATAATAAATATGTTTTACGTCATCATACTCTATCGAAAGTTAAGGTAATGAAACAAGAAATGTTATTTAAACAATGGCTATACAGGTAGGTACGCCTTAAAAAAAATGGTACCCTAAAACTGAATATAGGAAATTTGTAAAGTGCTGAAACTTTCTGTACTTAAAAACATATTAATATGTTTGTCTTCCCTGGCATATTTTTAAATCTATGGTTTTTAGTAAAGTTTTTTTGATTCAAAGAAAAGTTGCTTTGGTTGTTACCCCTTAAATACCGCCAGGAGGTTTTTAGCGAATAATTTTAACGTTGTTCATCAGATTTACTCAAAATTTCATAAAATATTTTGTTTTTGGGCCATAGCATTTGTACACATTATTGTAAACTTATTATAAACAAAAAAACATAAACAACCCCAAAAAACACTTGAAAACTACAAAAAAAAAACAACGTATAAACGACAACTCCTATGGCTAATATGGCACACAATTGTTTTATACCATATATATTTTATAGTGTGATAAGTAATTTTGCAATGGTGAAACCAAAACCTACTATAAAAGTGGGAAAAGTACCTTATGTTGTTGGAAAACCAAATTTAAAGGCAGAGTCAAAAGTCTAGATGAAAAAGATTAAGAAGAGTTTCAAATTCAACAAGCTGTGTCTTGCTGCAAAGAAAGAAGCTTGTTGCTTTCTTCGTCTTGCTGCAAAGAAAGAAGCTTGTTGCTTTCTTCGTCTTGCTGCAAAGAAAGAAGCTTGTTGCTTTCTTCGTCTTGCTGCAAAGAAAGAAGCTTGTTGCTTTCTTCGTCTTGCTGCAAAGAGCACAACAAAAGAGCCTATGCTGCTTTGCAAACTTCTTTTTATTAAAGATTTCTTTTATTAAAGATCGAGGCACCATTGATCAGAGATTAGATGGAAAAACTGCCAATATCAAAAATCCGAGTTGTGACACTAGAGGAAGAACACTCTATTGTAGAATTCACTAAATATAAAAACAGGTGTTATCAAGAAAGGAAGTCAATAATCTAATTATTGATGTTTAAAAATTAGAGACTATTGCAACACCAAGAATCGAGGTCATTATGTCAAACTATATGATAATGCAAAACATGTTGTAAAGGCAGGAAAGTAAGTGAACAGTTATTAAGTGTTATTGTTTATTGTTTATAATGAAAAATATTTTGCTTATAAAATTTTGTACACTAGTTATTTGTTTTTTAACACTATTCCATGTAATTAATAAGCAACCGTATTCTAAAAGCAACTTTTAAAATTTGTTAAGGGCTTGGTCAGTTGTTTTAACAGAGATGGGAAGCAGAGCACCACAACTTAGTTCTAAAAAGACAAGGAAATGTACCAATTAACATTCTTTTCTGGCCAGAGTGTGCAAATGTGCACATTCAATAAAGCTAAACCAAATTTAGAAGTTAGGAATTGCTTTTCGACTTAAATTGTAATGTACAAATTGTGGCTTAAATGGTTCTGAACTTTAAAGAAAGATTACAAACAACAAGTTTTGACATCAGTATTTGAATGTTTTGCGTATGACAGAGTATGTAGTATGCGTAGAACAGGGATGGGTTATCAATTTATGAAACTGTTTTTTTATGAATAAGTTTACATCTAATTATTGATATGAGATATTGATATGAGATATCAATATTTAAGTAACTTTACTTGACTATGGCAAGGATATTTCAAAAACGGTTTGAGCAAAACTTAAAATATAAATTTCAACAGGCTGCAAACTGTATAGCTCAAAATCAGGAGCACGAGTCTTTTTTTTTTTTTTTTTTTTTTTTTTTTTTTTTTTTTTTTTTTTGTCATTTGACACATTTTACAATGTTAACCTTACATTCAAATAAATTTATACAAATTCAAGCTGACTGGGGCAAGTAGAAGACAAAATGTCATCAAGCCCCTTCGTGAAAATAAATAAAAAATTTTTACAATTTCCAATAAAATATAAAAGAATGAAATTAAAAAAAGTTTAAAAAAACAAAATAAAAAGTTTGAAAAAATCAAAAAGTTTAAAAAATAATTTTTAAGTTTGACAAAACTAAAAAGTTTGAAAATAATAAAAAATAAAAAAGTTTGAAAAAATAATTTACAAATCCGTACATATGCGTATACATATCCAATAAACTTCATAATATATATTTAAATATACAAATGATATTTTGAATTGAAAAAGATTCCGAACATTTTATAGATTTAAGTTCATCTACTCATATTTTTTTTAAAACAAAATTAAAACAGACAAACAAAAAGAAACAAGAAGAATATTTAAGAAGGATATATGTATATATATACATATACACATATACATATACACATACACATACATACACACACACACACACACACACACACACATATATATATATATATATATATATATATATATATATATATATATATATATATATATATATATATATATATATATATATATATATATATATATATATATATATATATATATATAT